ACACCCAAAATCAACCCCAAAATCAACAATTGTATATTTTTTGGGTGTGTTTATAAATGGGTTTTGAGTGTGTGTAATGATGGATTTTGGGTGTGTTTATAAAGTGTTTTGAGTGTTGGGTTTTTTTATAATTTCAGCCCCCATTTTGGGTGTTTTAGTGAAACTCCCTTTAATTTTTCAATGATAGTGATAAAGTTGGTCTAGTCTTTGCTGGAAAGGACTTATTTTTGTTGTTGTAAGTGAATTGGATTGTAGAACCTAAAGGAAGCCAGGACAAATTCAAATTTCAATGGCTGTATTCGATTTTGGGTATCCGATTATGTGCAAGAGTTTTTGTGACTTTAAATTGATTTATTTATGTAGCTCAACACTGCAAGAGTTTTTATTTATTTATTATTCGAATCAAATTCAAACCAGGGTTCAAATAAATCCCAATAAAAAAGCTAGACTAAATTAAGCCTTGAGTCTCATTAAGGTCATGTTAGAAATATATTCTGATTAAGAGGTGAGCGAATGTGGTGGGTACCCCGTCCAAAAATGATTGATGGACTATTATTTTGTCAAAACAAGAAACCAAATTGGTATTTAAAATTTTCCCAAGAAAAAAAACACACATATATATAGAATGCATTACACTGTTTTATTGGGTCAAATTATAGTATACTATTAAACATGACAAAACTTTCTTTGCAAACGAGTTACTTTCACCGCAAATGCTAGTGTTACCTTATCTTTGGTGTCGTCAAAAAATCGAAAATATGCATACCTCCACGATTTCTTCACGAGTAATGTACCACAAACAACCCAAAAGCCCACGACAAAGCCAAGTACCATGGTGACATAGAACCACAACTTATCACTTCCATCTTCATTACTGGGTTTTGCATCTGTAGCAGTAAAAGTGTCATCTTTGGGGCATTTTCTTGGAAGAGGAACCCCACACGATGATGGATTGCCCATATAAATGGACGGCTCAGTGAACGTTTGAAATTGGTTGCCCAAAGGAATTCTCCCCACCAAGTGGTTGTAAGCCAAATTCAAGTGCGCCAAGAATGTTAGAGATGCAAGGGTTTGAGGAATTTGTCCTGAAAGACGGTTGTTTGAGAGATCAAGAGTTTCAAGCCCACGCATATTTCCAACCTTCAAGGGGATCTTACCAGTCAACTGATTTCTCGACAAGTTCAAGGTACCCAATAAAGTGAGGCTTCCTATCTCTTGAGGGATTTCACCTTCCAAAAAATTTGATGAAAGATCAATGCTCTTTACCAGCATCAGAGTGGTGTTATACACGAGTTCTTCTCCTTTTAATGTCAGCATGGTTTGCTCATTATAGATTCGATATGATTCTTTGGAATCATCACGGACCAGAGAAGTCAAATTATTGAAACATTTGGGAATAGTACCTGAAAAGTTGTTGTGGCTGAGGTCGAGGATGTGAAGGTAGCCAAGATTGCACAATTGTCGGGAAATATGTCCAGTAAAAAAGTTGGATCGCAATCGTAGCATGTACAACATGGATACATTCCATCCTCCTATCCATGGAGGTATGCTCCCAGATAATTTGTTCCCTCCAACATCGATATACTTTTCAAAAGAGAGCAATTGTGCAAAGAATCGGGAATCTTACCGCAAAAATTGTTGTTATTTAGCTTCAAAATTTGAAGAGAACTTAACAACCCCATTGAAGTAGGAATATTACCAGAGAGATTGTTGTAGGCAACATCTAAAACGACTATATGGCTCCCCAATCTCCCTGCGTGAAGGAATTCTCCAGAAAAATGATTGCTCCTGAGGGAAAGGACTTGCAAGTATTGCATGTTGCAAATAGAATGTGGAATTGTACCATTCAAATGATTCTCTGAAATATACAATTCTTCCAAGTTAGGCATCAACTGGTCAACACTCGAGCGAATTGGCCCAGAAAATAAATTGCTTTCGAGATCAAGGTAGGTGGCATTAGTGGACCATAGTGGGAGTGGGCCCTCTAATTGATTATGATTCAAAATTATTTGATATAAATTCGGAAATCTCATCAATTTGATTGATGAAAGCCTACCTCAAAATTGGTTGTAAGATAAATCTAGGTATTCAAGTTGGGAAGATAGCTCCAACAACCATTCCTCAGGTATAGAATATGATATTCCAGTTCTACTAAGGGTGACATCTGCCAGTTCAGTCTGAGATTGAAGCCATACCCCAAAACGAGGACCTACTTTACAGTTTCCAATCTTAATTTTGTGGAGCTTGAAAGGATGAATCCAATCATAAGACACGTTGAAAATGAGGGACATGGGCTTTTGTATGTCATCGAAATCGTTTTTTATTGAAAGACTTTTCAAGTTGGTTAGATTAATGAAATGGGCTTATGTTAGAATGCCTTCATAATAATTCCAAGACAGATCGAGTTGAACTAGCACGGAGAGTTGTCCTAGACTTTGTGGAATGAACCCGTTCATGTAATTATTAGTGAGGTACAAATATTGCAAACTTTTTAACATTCCTAAGGAGGTCGGCAATTGGCCTTCGAGCCCGCAACTAGACAAATCACTCTAATACTAGTGCGATTACGAGGCTTTGTAGGAAACGTATTTACTAAAAACTGAAATTAGTTACTAAACACCAATGAGGGTTGGTCAGAGTGGAAGGGGCTCTGGTCGCTTAAGCAAGTGGTCTCGGATTCGAGTCCTTGTGGATGCAGAAAAATTTCTTGGGAGAGGTCCCCGCATATGCGCCCGACAATACCTCGGAGGATTAGGCCCAGGCCATGCCTGGGAATACCTTGGGAAACCAAGAAATTAGTTACTAAACAAATTTCTTGATTTTAATTTTTCAATGATAGTGATAAAGTTGGTCTAGTCTTTGCTGGAAAGGACAAATTTTTGTTGTTGTAATGAATTGGATTGTAGAACCTAAAGGAAGCCAGGATAAATTCAAATTTCAACTAATAAAGGTTATTGGTAACCAGAGAATTAGCAGGACGTGCTACCACTGGACCCATAGAAAGATAGTCCTCAAAAGAATTGCTTTCTAGGGATACGCAGGAAACGTTGTCTGTTGCAAGTGGCTGTATTCGATTTTGGGTATCCGATTATGTGCAAGAGTTTTTGTGACTTTAAATTGATTTATTTATATAGCTCAACACTGCAAGAGTTTTATTTATTTATTATTCGAATGAAATTCAAACCAGGGTTCAAATGAATCCCAATAAAAAAGCTAGACTAAATTAAGCTTTGAGTCTCATTAAGGTCATGTTAAAAACACCCCGTCCAAGATGGACTATTATTTTGTCCAAACAAGAAACCAAATTGGTATTTAAAAATTTCCCAAGAAAAAAACACACATATATATAGAATGCATTACATTGTTTTATTGGGTCAAATTATAGTACATTATTAAACATGACAAAACTTTCTTTGCAAACGAGTCATTTTCACCGCAAATGCTAGTGTTACCTTATCTTTGGTGTCGTCAAAAAATCGAAAATATGCATACCTCTAGGATTTCTTCATGAGTAACATACCACAAACGCCCCAAAAGCCCACGACAAACCCAAGTACTGTGCTGACATAGAACCACAACTTATCACTTCCATCTTCATTACTGGGTTTTGCATCTGTAGCAGTAAAAGTGTCATCTCCGGGGCATTTTCTTGGAAGAGGAACCCCACACAATGATGGATTGCCCATATAAATGGACGGATCAGTGAATGTTTGAAATTGGTTGCCCAAAGGAATTCTCCCCACGAGGTTGTTATAAGCCAAATTCAAGTGCGACAAGAATGTTAAGGATGCAAGGGTTTGAGGAATCTGTCCTGAAAGACGGTTGTTTGAGAGATCAAGAGTTTCGAGCTCACATATATTTCCAACCTCCGAGGGGATCTTACCAGTCAACTGATTTCTCGACAAGTTCAAGGTACCCAATAAAGTGAGGCTTCCTATCTCTTGAGGGATTTCACCTTCCAGAATATTTGATGAAAGATCAATGCTCTTTACCAGCATTAGAGTGGTGCTATACACGAGTTCTTGTCCTTTTAATGTCAGCATGGTTTGCTCATTATATAATATATATGATTCATTGGAATCATCACGAACAAGAGCAGTCAAATTATTGAAACATTTGGGAATAGTACCTGAAAAGTTGTTGTGGCTGAGGTCGAGGATGTGAAGATAGCCAAGATTGCACAATTTTTGGGGAATATGTCCAGTAAAAAAGTTGGATCGCAATCGTAGCATGTACAACATGGATACATTCCATCCTCCTATCCATGGAGGTATGCTCCCAGATAATTTGTTCCCTCCAACATCGATACTTTTCAAAAGAGAGCAATTGTGCAAAGAATCGGGAATCTTACCTCCAAAATTGTTGTTATTTAGCTTCAAAATTTGAAGAGAACTTAACAACCCCATTGAAGTGGGAATATTACCAGAGAGATTGTTGTAGGCAACATCTAAAACGAGTATATGGCTCCCCAATCTCCCTACGTGAAGGAATTCTCCAGAAAAATGATTGCTCCTAAGGGAAAGGATTCTCAGGTCTTGCATGTTGAATATAGAAGGTGGAATAGTACCATTCAAATGATTCTCTGAAAGAAACAACTCTATCAATTTGGGCATGAGCTGGTCAACACTCGAGGGAATTGGCCCGGAAAATAAATTGCTTTCGAGATCAAGGTAGGTGGCATTGGTGGACCATAGTGGGAGTGGGCCCTCTAATTGATTATGATTCAAAATTATTTTATCTAAATTCGGAAATCTCATCAATTTGTTTGATGAAAGCCTACCTCGAAATTGGTTGTAAGATAAATCCAGAAATGCGAGTTGGGAAGATAGCTTCAACAACCATTCCTCAGGTATAGAATCTGATATTCCAGTTCCACTAAGGGTGACCTTTACTAGTTCAATCTGAGATTGAAGCCATACCCCAAAACGAGGACCTACTTTACAGTTTCCAATCTCAATTTCGTGGAGCTTGAAAGGAGGAACCCAATCATAAGACACGTTAAAAATGAGGGACATTGGCTTTTGTATGTCATATGAATAGTTGCCTATTGAAAGACTTTTTAATTTGGTGAGATTAATGAAATGGGCTTCCGTTATATTGCCTTCCAAAGAATTCCCAAACAGATAGAGTACAACTAGCTCGGAGAGTTGTCCTAGACTTTGTGGAATGGACCCGTTCATGTGATTATCAGAGAGGTCCAAATACTGCAAACTTTTTAACATTCCTAAGGAGGCTGGCAATTGGCCTTCCAGCCCACAATAAGACAAATATAGTGACTCTAATACTAGTGTATTATTTGGACAATTTGAAAAACTCCCCCAAAACTCTTCAATCCCCCCACCATCAAAATCGTTCGCCTCAAGACGTAATGTCTTTAGCTTGCACAAGTTTCCAAGGACTCTGGGAACTCCACTACCTTTGAGCCCCAAATAAGATAAATCTAGGTATTCAAGAGATTTGAGGTTTCCAAGTTCAACTGGAATATGACAATTGAAAGAATTCCTTAATAGAACAAGTTTCATGAGGCTAGTAAGATTGAAAATCCAACTGGGAAATGAAGAAGTATTGAAATCATTAGTTGAAAGATCAAGGACCGAAAGTGAGGTGAAGTTAATCCTCTGTAGAGATAGTGGATGGCTTACTAATCTGCAATCAGATAAGTGTAACTCCAGTAAGGAAGGAAGCATGTTAACAACATGCAGCCAATTTGTGTTGCTATGAAGATCCATTGCATTGAGATTGAGGTATTTTAGGGAAGAGAGATGAGAAAGCCAATTCAAGTTTTTGGAAGGGAAATATGAATAACCGACATCAAGATAGTTCAAGTTTGATAAGTTACCAAGAGAAGGGGGAATCTCTCCTTCAAAATATGTAAAGGAGATATTGAGATACGTCAGAGTTTTAAGCTCTCCAAAGAAGTTGGGAATGTGGATCCCTTGAAAATTATTCCAACTTAAGTCCAGGTAAAGCAAGTGTTTCAAGCTAAGCAAAGAAGAATTTATCTTACCCCCCAAGCAGGCTGCTAGCGTGCACGTGTAAAAATAAAACCCAAAATCAACGGTCCAGGTCCTCAATTTAATTTTTGGTGGTAAGTACATGTAGAAGAAAAAAGAAAAATGTAATGCCAAACGGTTTGTATTTACACCCTCAAACAAAAATCTGATTATTATCTTCAGATTTTCTACTTTCTGTTTGCTGCTCAAACGGATCTCTCTCTTCAGTGAACATGTTACTATCTGTGCGGCTGGGCCACCTTGAAATTACAAAGAACGTGGCAGTGCCAGACAAATGGGCCGGACCACTAGAGAGAGAGACTAATTGTGGTTGTGGTTGTGGTTTAGGTGGGGTTGTATACAAGGCTGCGATAGCGCCTGTAAAAATCAACGGTCCAAGTCCTCAACCCAATTTGCAAGGTTGCAAGTCCAATCAGGTACATGGAATTATATTCTTCATTTCTCCTTGACAGAGCCACAATGTTTTCATTAATACTCGAATCATGATATGCTGTTACTATATTATGCCCAAATATTCTTTTTTTTTCATTTTTAAATGGGGAGTTTAATAAATAACTTCATGCGAATAAATACCAAATTTAAGTCATAAAATAACACAAATAAAAAGATAAATAAAGTTTATGAAAACCAGAATATTGTTGAGTTTAGAAGAAAAAAAAAAGAATATTGTCTCACAAAATACTGCAACGATTCATTCGTTCCAGGTCCAGGTCTCCTCAACCCATTTTGCAAGTTTGCAAGTCCAATCATGCACATGTAAACTATACTCGACTAAACTGTACTCAACCTTTTGGCTGTTCAAATTGTAATTCGATTTCGGAGAAAGTTATTGTTGTTCCCCAAATGCATGGTTGGCTGGCTTCTTACTTCTGCATCATGATTATATTCTTTATTTCTCCTTAACAGAGCCACAATGTGTAGAAGAAAAATTAAATCAAATGCCAAATGCCAAATGGTGTTATTACATCAAATGTTGTTCCACTCTGAAATTTCAAACAATGTGAGATAGGGGGTTCTCTAGTCTAGTCTCCATATATAACGTGACAAATTTAAGCACATAAAAGCTCCTAAATATCAATCAAGAGTTTCACGAACTTCAACAACCATTTGTGATAAAAATAGAAGAACTTGTGAAATGAAACAGTTACATTTTTAAAATTACAATACAGGGAAAATAAAAAAACAAAAAAACATCACATGGTACATAAATTTAATAGTTATTACCCAAGTGTAGTGAATTCAAGAACTTATTTCTGTTCAAATCAAAATTTCCTTCGAAAAGGAGCCACTTTTTATTGCAATTGCTAGCCTTCCCTTACATATTACTTATGTTATCAAACCATAACTTGTTCACAAATAAGGTGCCTCTATTTTTACATTTCACTATACATTCCTTATATATTCGAAAGTGAGAATGGGCCTCAATGCACCTACCTATATATATATATATATATAAATTCCAAGTGTGCTAGCTACATGGTTCTTATCATTAACTATTTATACCATCTTAGTCATCTTAGTCACATATATATGCATGCATGAGATTTTTGATGTCATGAATTATTGAAATCTATATGTAAAATTATTAGGGAGATTCACTATTATACTCAATATAGGAGTCCAAATTATAAAAAAACCATATCTGAAATGGACTTTAGAAACACACCCAAAGCCTATTTACAACATAACAAAAAGTATTTTAACTTCTTTTAAATTACAAAACTGCCATTGATTTTTTAAAACAAACCCAACCCCAAACCTCATAAAAAGCGCAAAACACTCAATAGGGCATCAAACTATTTTTTTTACGCAAATAATTGTGTATTTGGGTTATGAGTTTAAGTTTGTTCTTTTGTGGTTTTAAAAAACGGTATATAAAAAATTCTCTCTAGCGCTCTCTAGGGTTTTCTCTAGAGCGTCCTAGGGGAGTTTAATCCAAAATCAGAGTATTTGGAAATTTCAATTAAAATGGAAGTTTTGCAGTGAGTCGGTTGTAAAACAAATTCAAAAGGAAATAGACATTGGAAGATATTTAGAAGAACCAGTAGTCCTTCTGTTAAAGGAATATTTGTTCTAAAAACAGTGTTATTTGCTACAAATTAATAAATAACTTCATGCAATTAAATACCAAATTTAAGTCATAAAATAACACAAATAAAAAGATAAATAAAGTTTATAAAAACTAGAATATTGTTGAGTTTAGAAAAACTAGAATATTGTCTTGCAAAATACTCCAACAATTCATTCGTGTTTCTATTACCATATTTCCTTGTCACCATTTCTTTGATAGAAAGGGATTGAGGATACACAAGATTCCAGGTCCAGGTCTCCTAGCTCGTGTAAAAATCAAACCCAAAATCAACGGTCCAAGTCCTCAACCCATTATGCAAGTTTGCGAGTCCAATCAGTAGATGGAGTTAAATGCATTTTCTTGACTCCTCATCACTATCATTGTCATCGGTGCTGTTAATATTATGGCTAATTAAAGATGAATTTATCATGCCCCGTTGGACACATATGGGTTGACATAGTAGTAGAATGGGATTGAGGATACACAAGATTCCAGGTCCAGGTCTCCTCAACCCATTTTGCAAGTCTGCAAGTCCAGTCATGCACATGTAAACTGTACTCGACTAAACTGTACTCGACCTTTTGGCTGTTCAAATTGTAAGTCGATTTCGGAGAAAGTTATTGTTGGTCCCCAAATGCATGGTTGGCTGGCTTCTTGCTTCTGCATGATTATATTCTTTATTTCTCCTTGACAGAGGCACAATGTTTTCTTTAATACTCATGATGCTGCTACTATATTATGCCCAAATATTCCCTTTTATTTATGCTATTTCGACACAAATGGGTTTTAAGTCTTATTTTCATTTTTCACAAGGCTGCTAGCACGTGTAAAAATCAAACCCAAAATCAACGGTCCAAGTCCTCAACCCATTTTGCAAGTTTGCAAGTCCAATCAGGTACATGCAAGGTCTAAAATATTGGTGATATCGAAAATATTGGTAGGCCAAAAACATGGAAATTTCTATGGAAATATCGGGATATTATCGATATCGATAAAAATTGAATAAAAACCACGGAAATTGTAAGAAAAACTTGGAAATTTTTATTGAAACTTTGCAGGATGTTTATTTAGTCAATTATCTATTAGTTTATCATAAAAAAAATTGGAATGAAATGCATTGCATGATGGATTTAACTTATTTAAGTTGATTATATAGCGAGCTGACAAACACTGTGAGTGTAGAAAATATGTAGTAATTAATGAAAAAAAATTAAACACACCATAATCATTTATATATACACTACTAGATTTTTGTATTTGCGCAACGAAGGAATTTTGGTCGCGCAAAGTACATTTGTGTCGCACAAATAGTAATGCGACAGTATATTTGTCGCGCAAAATTTGTCGCGCAAAGATCGTAAAGATACACTTTGCGCGACGAAAATATTAAAATTGTCGCGCAAAATGAGCGACGGTAAACCTTCATTGCACGTTATTTCGCGGGACGATGAGATATTTCGTCGGTCAAAGTTTTGCGCGATGAATATACATTCGTTGCATTAACATAGCGCGAGGAATCATAAGCGTTGCACTAAAAGTACAGGGACGAGAGCATATTCGTGTCGAAAAGATTTGCGCGACGAAATATAGTCGTTGTAAGGACACTGCGCGACGACTACCATGCGTGGCGCAGGTACTGTGCGACGAGTGTGTTCGTGATTAAAATATTTGCGCAACGAAATAGTTTGGTCGCGCAAAATAAAATAAATTCTTTAAAATTTATTTTTACGGTTGTGTATGTTCAAAAACAATTTGCGCGACGGAAACTGTCGTCGCGCTAAAGCAGAGGGACGAGAGGATATCCGTGTCTAAAATATTTGCGCGACGAAATATAGTCGTTGTAAGGACACTGCGCGACGACTACCATGCGTGGCGCAGGTACTGTGCGACGAGTGTGTTCGTGATTAAAATATTTGCGCAACGAAATAGTTTGGTCGCGCAAAATAAAATAAATTCTTTAAAATTTATTTTTACGGTTGTGTATGTTCAAAAACAATTTGCGCGACGGAAACTGTCGTCGCGCTAAAGCAGAGGGACGAGAGGATATCCGTGTCTAAAATATTTGCGCGACGAAATATAGTCGTTGTAAGGACACTGCGCGACGA